TAGGGTAAGGATTTTAGAAAAAAGCATGGTCTTATAGTCGGAAAAATACAGTAATTTTTCTGCATTTGCTATGTAATACAACCAGCCATTTGTATTTATGCATTCAGAATATGTTAGTATTAGTTATTCCCTCTTATTCCTTGACCTGGAACAATAGCTGTTTTAAAAATATCATTATTTGAAACTATAGGAATGGAACATTTCAAAACTTTCTATTGAATATGACTCTGAACCATTTGGAAAGGAGAGAGATGCAGCAATTAAGAAGTTGGCCACTGAAGCAGGATTGGAAGTCATTGTACGGATATCGCATACTTTATATGACTTAGACAAGTAAGCTACCAATTTATTAAGTGTAAAACAGAAAAATAATAAGTAATCATGCAGTATGGATAGATACTGATAGAGGATAGAAAATAATACTGAATCCAACATTTTCTATTACAGCATTTTTTTGTAGAAATACCACTTTTTGTTAAAATATATCAATTCTTAAAATTATTTAGTAGCATAATGGATGGTTTGTAGACATTTATATTTGTCTATGAAACTTGTATACTGCTAATTTCAACAAATTGAAATTAACAGAAAACATCCATGATAAAGAACAATAAAACATCCATGGTAACAGAACTCAAACAAATGCAGCATTAAAATGGCCACAATAGGTTTGAAAATAAAATATTTTAAACATTAGAGATGTGAAACAATAACAGAAAACTTGGGGATACTTGTACACTGGGGAAAAGCCCTATGGAAGAGCTGTCTTTAGTTGTTTCCTGAATGTTGTCAGAGAGGAGGCAAGCCTGAAGTCAGTGGGGAAGCTGATTCAGAGAGCTGGCATTGCAACAGGAAAGCAGCACCTCCTGGTAACAGCCCCCCAATTTTTTTTTGTTCTTCTTGGTGGTCTTACTAGTCAGGACAATTCTGGCTGGATAATATAGTCCTGGATATACCTAGGTGTCAAGCCATGAAGGGATTTATAAGTTAAAACCAGCAGTTTAAAATGTATCCAGAGACCAATTGGGAGCCAGTGTAGAGTCTGAAATGCAGTTGTTGATGGTGATGTGTTGTTGATTGTGAATACTAGTCAAAACACAGGCTACCCATTCTGGAACGTTTGCAGTTTCCAAGTAGTCTTTAAAAATAGCCCTATATAGAATGCTTTACAGTAGTCCAGTCTTGTGGGGACAGGGGTGTGAATTACTGTAACCAGGTGTCCTACCCAGATAAGGTGATAACCGGTCCACAAGTTGAAGTTGGGCAAAGGCTCCTTTGCCACAGCCTCCACCTGCTGGTTTAGCAGAACCCATGAGTCCAGGAGAACTCCCAAATGAAAGACTAGTTCTTTTAGAGGTAGTGTTTCCCCATCAAGAGACATTGGAGACATAGGAGAACATCAGTGTATCAACACTAACTCCATCTTATTAACTTCAGCCTGTTTTGTCCCATCCAGACTCTTAAAGCCTCCAGGCACTGGGAAAGAACCTCCATGACATCTCCAGTCTGGCCCAGGGTGGTAATATAAAGCTGGGTATTGTAAGTGGTACTGGTGATAGCACACTCCAGACTGTTGGATGACCTCACCAGCAGCTTCATGTAAATGTTAAAGAATAGGGGAGAAAGGATTGACCCAAACACCCACCATTACTTAAGCTGCTTTTCCCCTGGGAGCTACTCTCTCCTCTGCCTGTTTAAAAAAACAAAAACAAAATGAAACCCTGTGGACAGCTCATCCCCATCTGCCCTCTTATTGCAGATAGGAGTTTTCCACACAGTGTCCCATCTCTTGCCTGGACAGATATTCAAAGCTAGCATCAGATCCCCCTGCCCTGTGTATGACATAGCACTCAGTTTCCCTGGGCACTGCCTAGTTTAGTGGGACACAGGTTATTACAGTCCCTAACTCCTCTTCAAATTATTATTGTATTTCTTTCCCCCCCAATAATTTTATTAAGAGTTTTTGATAGAACAATAAAATAATACAAGCGAAAAAAAGGAAAAAAAGTTGTAATAAAATGAAACAAAACAAAAAAACCCTCCCCCCTTAGAAAATTGACTTCCCATCCTCATATAAACTATTCCATAATCTCTTCACCTCTTCTTATTTAGCCAATATACAACTCTTCATCCCATAACCCATCTCTTAACAATAGGCAAATCAAATAAGTAACCTTTTCTTCCATTCAATTCTCAGCAAAAAGTCCAAATAGAACTCTAAAATATTAACATTAGTTAACATATATAAAATTCAGCATTCCACATCTCTGTTCTTAGCCCATCCTCATATAAACTATTCCATAATCTCTTCACCTCTTCTTATTTAGCCAATATACAACTCTTCATCCCATAACCCATCTCTTAACAATAGGCAAATCAAATAAGTAACCTTTTCTTCCATTCAATTCTCAGCAAAAAGTCCAAATAGAACTCTAAAATATTAACATTAGTTAACATATATAAAATTCAGCATTCCACATCTCTGTTCTTAGCTAAAACAAAATCCCATTTAAAAGGCATAAAATGGTCCCAATATCCCAATATAAAAACATATATAAAATTCAGCATTCCACATCTCTGTTCTTAGCTAAAACAAAATCCCATTTAAAAGGCATAAAATGGTCCCAATATCCCAATATAAACAAAGGAAAGGTTTAACATTACAAAAAGAGACCATTTCCTCTTTACAAGACAAGCTCCAATACACAACATTTTTACTCTAAATAACAACTTACCCATTTTGATAAACATTCCATATCTCAACTCTAAACTATAAGCAAATCTACAAAAGACTAAAATTTAGCATAACAGAGAGAAATAGTTTTTCCTTTAAAGAAAACAAGATCAGACTTCCTTTAAAAAAACAATTAAATACAAAGCCAATTTGAGTACTATGAAATTAAAATACATAAATAACAATAAAGGAAAGAACTTAAACACCTTATTAAGTATAAACAAATCCAGTGCACCACATTTTTTTCTAGTTAAGATATCTGCAAATCCAAAAAGAACCAGCCAAAATAACAACATGTCTCATTTTATCCTTGGTTGAATAAACTGATTTTATATTCCTTTTTACTTCTATACAGAACTGTCTTTCTCTGTAATCCCTTCAGAGGGTAGTTGACCTTTGTTGGAACTTTCTTTAACAATCTCTCTTGTGACTCTAAGAAAAAGAAATTATTCCAATTGCTCTCTAGGATTGTCATTTTTATTTCCTTCTTATTTTTTAAATTCTCATCCATTTTTCTTTATGTCTGGTGAAAAGTTCTTATTCAGATTCTCATCCATGTTTTCCTCAGGTAAGTTTTACTGCATATCACGTTTTAACATCTTCTGAGAACAAACTGTTCTCAGAAAAACATGACATAGCTGACATAATTGATTCAATATCCTGATGCAGTTCCTCAAATATATATCTAAGCACTATTTTAAATTACTTGTCTATTATGTCTTCAGTCTCAAAAATAATTTCTCTTTCCCACAATTATGCAATTATTCTTTAATTACTGGCCAGCATTAGTTAAACCTATGGGTTTATTCTTCATATATCATGCAGTAGAATAAATTGATAAACTTCTATAGTCTGTGAAACCCGAAAGATTGTCAGGCAATAATATGAGGAATCTAAATGGAACTGAAAGACTAACAATATTAAGATTGATCCTATTAAAATGTATGAAAGTAAGAGACTGTCTCTTCCTTTTCTTCACTTAATTTTTTTTTTTCCTTTTAAAACTTTTTTCCCAAGTATATTCAGAAAATAGGGCTGTACAGTGCTGTAGAATCAAAGCAAAAAAGTGATTCAGAGCATGCAGGGTAGCTTGCGTCTGCAACACCTTAAACCAAATGTGCATTTTCCTGGGCTGGGCTATGGCTGTGGATGGCAGCTGTATTATACGGGAAAAAATACAGCTACTATAAGGAGCTGCAGACAGGTACTACATGAGCACCCTCATGTACCTCGATGCACCTTTTCTAAGAGCGTTACACAGCCCTAGTATAAAGCATGATGAATTATATAAAAGACAGAAATGTTCATTCATTCTTCCGGTTTGTAAATATAATAGACTTACTTGCCAACAATTCATTAGAAAGTATGTGGGTCTCTTTTTAAAGCGCATTTGTTCTTTAAAAAAAAAAGTCAAAAACCGGGAAGAGAAATTGACTACATCTCTTCAATCTGGTGATGTGATGAGGAGGAAACTGGTGACACAAGGAGCGTGTAATTCCCAGGCCATGGATTGACTACAGTACTTATACACAAAGAGTATAGAAAATTGTACTCAGCCACTTTTTTTAGTGTATTAATGCTGATCTGAGGCCTTGTTTCTTGTAGTAATTTCTTTATAATCAATTGTTAACTATCCTTTGCAGTGATTTGTTCATTCATCTGTAGAGTAACTATATACATTGTCATTTAACTTACTTCATTAATTATTTGTCTGGATTAAGATGATTGGATTTGCTGTATTAGTTGCACCCCTTAGCCTTTTCTATGTTTCTAATGAGGAATTCAGTTACTCTATTCACAGTATGAAGTAAATGTTATAACATGCTACAGGTAAGAAATGTAGAGTTGCACAACAAACTTAAAATGTTTCTAAAAGTATAAACTGACATTGCTTTCTTTGTCTGTAGAATTATAGAATTAAATGGAGGGCAGCCACCTCTTACTTATAAGAGATTCCAAACTCTAATAAGTAGAATGGAACCATTGGAGATGCCTGTGGAAACTATTACTGCAGAAGTAATGTCAAAATGTACTACCCCAGTTTCTGACGATCATGATGAGAAATATGGTGTTCCATCACTGGAAGAACTAGGTAATCCAAAATACATATCATCATCCTCATTCCTTGTATATTATTAAAAAATGGCCTCTTCTAATACGTGGTCATTAGTTGGAGGCTCTATTAGCCTTCTATTAGACCTATCTAAGGTCTATCTTACCTATCTATTAGTAAGGTCTAATAGAAGGATCTGAATGATAATATCCTGCCATTTACAATTATGCTTAAAGCTCGGTATAAGAAAATAATACTGTCTAATTTATTAATAGATGCTTCTTCATAGGCAGTATTCTAGAATGTGTACGTAAGTTATAATTCAATAGGGTTGCCAAATAATCACAGAATTTCTTGAAAATATTTGCGTTATTGTGAGGGGAAAAGAGCAAGTTCCTAGTTGTTAAACTGTGAAGACTTGCTCCTAAATTGGGTGTTGACAACTCACCAAAGATTTCTAGTAGTTGACAGAGGGACTTTACCATGTCTGCCACTGCACTGAGTATCAAATTCTGAATAAATTATTCAAAGTACTCAAAACTTGCAAACTAAGCATTGGGTTCAGATCAGTGTTTTGATTATATAGGTATAGTAATTGCTTAACATAATAAAGTTTTATAATCTATACAAATTGTAGCTTGACTAATAACATTTGACATTTGATAATATATTTTATATTGGTTTCTATACTATAGGTTTTGATACAGATGGATTGCCTTCTGCTGTTTGGCCTGGAGGAGAAACAGAAGCACTCACGAGACTGGAAAGACATTTGGAAAGAAAGGTATGTTGTTCAACTTTGTTGTCCTCCAAGCATAGTTCAATACTTCATTGAGGTATGAAAAAATTGGGCCAAAGTTGTAATAATACAAACTTGAAGAGCATTGTCCTTTATATGCTTGTTTTCAAGTATTGAAATACTATAGTTTTGATTAAGAAGTAATTCTGCTTTAATATTTGATTAGCTTTAATTTTGCATATCAACTATAACTGCAGTTAAAACTTTTACAGTGGGGCAAAAAAGTATTTAGTCAGCCACCAATTGTGCAAGTTCTCCCACTTAAAAAGATGAGAGAGGCCTGTAATTTTCATCATAGGTATACCTCAACTATGAGAG